TACATGGACCCTTTGGGGAAGTTGTGAGCGTATGCTACCTTAGGCTGTGTTGCTCGGACCTCAGTAGCAGAGCATGCAAAAGTAAGATTTACGGGCGGATCCCACAGTGTTGCGCCCACAATGTTGCGCACTTTGCGTCTTTTTGGGTACCAGGTTTCATTCTCATTGGTTAGTAGTTTTCGTTTTGCAGGGGGATTGCTTTGTTGGGTACCCAACCGGGTATTCTGACTGAAAGGGCCGCGGCGTTGTAGCCCACTTCCCTATCAACGTCCTTTCAGATTATGTTCTGGAAGCTGTGGTCAACTTTCTTCGCTGCAGGTTTGATGTAGCTAGCTTCTTGAACACGGACCCTTCCTAGAGGGTGTACTGAAATAAATTTCTGGGCTCCCCAACATTGTGCGTTACTCGAGCCGGCATACTCAGGTCTGGCAGATGCAATTATCTATCAATTTTGCGCCTGAGCTAATTCTCGCCGCTGAAGCACGTGGTGTAGACATGTGCGGAAGCTTTGCTGCTTAAAAAGGCAGTATAGTCGCGTTTCTTGTTCTCCAGGTTTTCCACAAGAGATCCATGTTTGGCGGGGTTGTCGCGGCACCTGTGACACCACCATGAGGAGTCACTAGCGCAATGCGTCACCATAGCAGGAAAGTGACACCAATAAATGCCCTCACAGTCCTCAAAATCAGTGCGCAGCCATCTATACATAGCTATCAGCATGGCAGTATGAAATCATTTTGACCGGTGCTGCGGGACCCTTTCCTCCTACGGAAGCTTAGAAGCCCGCTCTGTTGGAGCCCCTTTTACAGATCTTCGGTCTGCAGTCCATGCAGACATGCCACCAAGCAAGCGAAGAAAGAGCGTTCTGCCGGCTGGGGTGCCCCAAAATGGACGAATTTACTACAAGCCTCATTCCGGGAATTCCCAAAACCTTCCCAAGAACTAGCATTCCCTTCATGCAAGTCTCAAGTATCCTGGATAAGTGTGTTTGGTGTGTACGGGAGGACCCCCCTGTTAGGACTGGCTGAGATGTTGTAAGCAACGCTCTAGCACTAGCTGTAAGCCCTCATGTTTTACTGTTGCATGGTGGAGGCAGTCCCTAAATGGTATATATGAATCAAAGGTGGTGCAGGCTTTTGCTCATCATTAGCATGCACCTTCCTGTGTGAGGGGGCACGGGTTTTGTCGCAGGCAGTTAGATGCTTGATGCTTGTCTGCCTGTACCCCCGAAAGTATGTAGAATAATGACCTTTTGGCTTAGGTTTTTAGGGTTTAGGGGTGTCGGGCCATTATTATTTTACTTACTTTGAGGGATGAGGTAGGCGTTTTGAGCTATGCATGATTCCAACGTCTTGGGCACCTAACATGAAGGTCCTGACTCAATCCAAGTTCCAAGTTCGCCCAGGAAGCCTTGACGTAGAGTCCCCCTTGATTAAGTAGATAGAATATGGAATCGGCCGATGTCATAATAAGATCCCCATATGACCCATATTCTATCTAGTTAAAGGGGGACTATATCCCTAAACCCTAAACCTCAAATTGTGGTGTCCATTTTCCTTCCCATTATCCCAATATGACCCCTATATAACCTCTATATTCTATCTACTTAAGGGGCTCATAGTTGTACTTCACTGACAGGGCGCTTCTGCAGATTGCTAGGCCGTTTTGGGAGGTGTCCTTCTGAGATCAAGGCCCTCAAACCCCCAAGGCATAAGCCACACACATTCTGAATCTTTAAGCCTTGAACCAGCCACAGCTACCCGAATCTAAAGCCCTGAACCATCACTGCTTACATGGTTGAAGTTGTCCAAAGAGAAGACCTCAAATCGGCCCATGTTTGAGCCCAGAAAGGCTGTGGTCGAAGAGGAACAGCTACAGAGTCCAGTTGGGTTCGAACCTACATCCTCTAAATCCTTAGCCCTAAACCCAACGGAATCCCCCACTGGACAGGCAGCAGAAGTGGGATGGTCCGAAGTGCAGAAGGCAGAGGGTTCAGGGTTGAGGTATTGGAAATCAGCTGGCCAGTAATTGCAACTGCACGCAGGTGTTGCTGCATAATTGAGCTTGACACACTTTCCTCAAGCCTCCAAACCTTAAACATCCCTATAACCCTGCATATGGGAGTTTCCCAAAATTAGGGGTACCTTTTTGGGGGTCCCCATATTAAGGATTATAGTATATTGGGGTCTATATTGGGGTACCCTAATTTTGGGAAAGTATCATATGATCCCATCTGAGAATCCTGGGGGAGGGTTTAAAGGGCCATCTCACAGGATCAAGACGGAAGGGCTATGCGCGGCGATGGCCGCAAGCTGGCTCATAAGCCGCCGCCTCAGCTGAGGTAGGACCTTCATTGAGGATAAGGGTTTAGGGTTTAGGGTTTAGGGTTTAGGGGGGATACTTCTAAGGGTAGAAGTATGGGCCACCAATATGGGCCCTTAGGCCTTTTTAGGGAGATTCTAGGGACCCTTAAGGGTACATATAGGGTATATAGTAGGTATATAAGGATCCCAGGGTTAAGGTCCATACTAGGGGCCCATGGTTTTAACCTTAGAATACTACAGCCTGCAGTGTCTACAGTCCCGGGGGGGCGGGGGGGGGTTTAGAGTTTCGTAGGAACTCGGCACTATAGCCTGGAGAGTTAGATGCCAAATACAATCAAAGCTGTCAGTTTGGAGGGTTTATGTAGTGTTCGTGCATGGGGATGCTGGAGTCCCAAACAGAGAGTAATTAAGACTACATCCTCGTTTTGGATACAGTATCTCATGAAAAGGCTGAGACTCCGAGGCTGTAGCCATGTTTCCCACTGGCAGGGCCTTTTGCTTACAGGCCACACAAAAGAAGGGTCGTATAATGGGTTTGGGGTTGGGGGGGCCTCCAACAGAGAAGACTTGTTTGGGTAGGTGGAGTTGGATAAAGAGACACCAAGTGAAATTTAAGAAAATGTTCCTGAGTTTCAACCGGGTCAATCCGTGTTTGGACCCTAGAGCTTTAAGTCAAGACTTAGTGGTTAGCAGGGAATGAGAGAGCATGTTATATACGGACTTAATTCCCTACTAATCACCATTAAGAAGAATGCTGAAGCACGGCTCAGGTTCAACATCTTCCAGGAGATTTCCTCTGAGGATGATGATGGCGAGCTTGAGAAGGATGCTCCGGGCAGCCTTGAACAAGAGTAGTCCATGGGGTTCAATGCCCTAAGGGTTTAGGGTTGAGTAGCTTATGGGGTTTAATGCCCTAAGGGTCCAAGGACCCAAATAATTGGGTTTTAGGGCCCAAATTCTATAGTATTAATGGTATTTGGGCCCGAAACCTCTATTATTTGGGTCCTTGGACCCTTAGGGATGTTCACGGTTTAGGGTTGTAAGGTTAGCAGACATACTCATGATAATGCTGGTGCCAAGGATATTAGCAGTAAAGCCATACGGCTGGCAGTACAGTAGTAATGGCCTGCCCGCTTATATGCGTGCATTTGCTGTTGCGTTTGGGCATTGCTGTGTGAAGACCACTTTAGCTGAATATGGCATGTTCCCCAAGACTAACATACCTAAGACTTGTCGTATTTTCCATGTATTCTCTGTGGGCGCTGCTGTCAATACTAGGGCTACCAATGGACCATACATTGGATGAACATCGGGGACCCGTTGTCAGTTTTGTATTGTCGCTAATCTGTTTCCTCAATAGGAATTCGTTTCCATTAGTTGTACTTGGGAATGACTGTAGCTCATGTAAATGTTGAGCGGAAGTCCAGGAGCGGCGCGGCCTTACCGTGGAACAGATCCTGGCACGACGCCCAGCGTCTTGAGCGGCAGCGCACCCCATTCTCCTGGCCCTTTAAGCTCCCAAAGTGCGAAAGATGATAGCCTCACGGGGTCTTTGTAGTGGTTGGTAGGGAATGAAGAAGTGTTTGCGTCTGACTTCTCACGGCTTCGCAAAGATCTCATGCAGATCTCATATTGCAGACACACGGGATAGATAAATGAAATTGGGTAGGCGGCTTAGCTTGAGAGCTTTGTCTCGAAGGGCACTAGTGGCCGTGTTTGTACTATTTTCGGCAAATGACCCCAAAGGAGAGAATAAATTTGAAGACTTATATCCTGTCTCCAACAATGGTCAAGCTCTGTCGCAGACCCTGTCAGGAAACTGGATCAATGTTAGGGATCTTTATACTTTTTGGGGTGTGGGGTTCCTTATATTTCTGTAAAAAGGATCCTTTTTTCTCCCTAGGATAATGTGGGCTAAGGAAAGGAGTCCAAAGTATGCGGACAAGTTCTTGGACAAGGTGAAGCCTTTGCTGATTGACCCCAAGGCACGAAGGGGTTGAGTGTTTAGGTACGAAGCTGCGCAACCTTCTTTCAGTAGTGTACCGTAGAGGCTGTTGAATTTAGATATTACACCGCCCCCCCCCCCCCCCCCCNNCCCCCCCCCACCACCACAATGGGGAGTAGTTAATGTAGGGGGGGGGATGTTAGGGGGAGAGGGTTATTGGAGTAAGAGAAGACTTCCGGAAGCTTGTGTTTCAACCTCAAGCTCCAACAGTCTGATCCCTGATTGAAGTCGAACAAGGACATAAAGGACATATCCTTGGGGTACATATATGGTGTCTAATTTAGGGGTATATAGATGGTGGACGGAGGGTCTAGGGACAGAAAGCACATATTTGCCACGAAGCAAGCAATCTGAATGGTGCATATTCGCAGCCGTCAACTGAGCAGGGCATGACTACGGAGAGCCAGCTAACTTGGCATGGTAGTAAACTTGGCATGACAAACTTGCAAAGTTGCTTCGAGTATCATCATGAAGTTGGATCGCCCTTGTGCTCATAAAAACCTAAACCCCAAAAAGTATGTAACATAATGGCCCTAAACCCATAATAATAGCCATAAAGGCCAGAATTTTACATACTTTTGGGGTCCAGGACTTTTCCTTTCCTCTTCTCATCCAGCGAAATGCCCGTGAAGTCTAAGGTCGCTTCTAAACTCTAAGCGGTGGGTGAAGAGGATCCTGCGCCACTTAGGACTCGCAAAGTAGTTAACTTCCTATGACGTATGAGCTATAGTCTAAACTCCTTAAAAGGGGGTAGGGGATCATATAGGGGACTATTATGGGGGTTATTAAGGGGGATACTAGGAGTTTAGACAATGGCTCATATTGCTGTTAACGAGAGTCAGGGCATTCTAATGCAGTATCATGTTTGCATGCCGGCAGGTCAGCAAAGTAGCAGCGGGAGGCGCTTTCACAATGCTTGAGGAGATCCCGGTGAGCTGTGCGAGGGAGTGCTAGCAGCAGGTAGTTCTCCTAAGTTATCAAGTAATCAAATTCAAGATACAGCAAATGGGACGAGACTAGTACGAACAACAGCCTTGGAATCTGCAGCGTTGCCCAAGCTAATCCATCTTTCACCTTTGCAAGCACGGAAGATAATCCCCACGTCCTCTGTAGTCTGTCTAGCTTAAGAGAACCCCTAAGGGTCCAAGTACCTCAACAGTATATTTTTAGTGCCCAAGGTACTGAAATAGCAATCCATTTGGGCTGGGCCTAGACGTTGCAGCGGCTGGTTTGGCCGAGAGGCTTGTGACATAGAGTTCAACGCCCTTCTGAAGCGGAACCCTTAGTGGGTCTTCGCCAAGATCTTTTCCTCGCAGCTCTTCCATGCACATGGCCTCTGTCTCCAGATGAAACTACAGGCCAGATTCTGCAGGGTGTACGGTAAAACCCTCAACCCTAAACCCCAATGTAGGCCCAGAGTTGACCTCAAGAAACACAACACATCCCCAAATAAGGGAACCCCACTATAGACCCCAAAATGTTGCAATCCTTAGCATGGGGGCATCCTACAATGGTACCCCTAATTTTGGGAAACCCCCATATGAGCTAGCCTTACTGGAGCCCCAAGTGCTCCTTATCTTGCCATCGCAAGGTAGATTCTGGAGTCCCCCTTGGCCACAACCCTGATCTCTTGAAGACATATGAGCTATAGTCTAAACTCCTTAAAGGGGGATATATAGAGGATTATATAAGGAACTACTGTAGAGGTTATTAAGGGGGATACTAGGAGTTTAGACTATAGTTCATATAGCCCCTTCAGCAGGATCTGATGGGGGGAGCCCAAAACTCATGCAGTCACTTTCACTAAGGGTCCAAGTACCCAATAATCATATACTTACCCCAAAATCGGTACTATCATTACTGTTAATTCCCAATATCCCAGGTACCTAATTATTGGATACATGGACCCTGAGGGTTTGGCATTTTGGTACATCCCGATTTGCGTTAATTACCCCCTAAACCCTAAACCCTATATAATCCCTAAACCCCAATCCCTAATCCCTAAACCCCCAAACCGCCCGATTTGCTTTTGCTGCCAGGAGCCGCAACTGATGCCCTTGCTGAATGAGAGCAGCCTCCTGAGAGCAAAGCTTAGGCTCGGGCTGCAGGGCACTTAAAAGCATGGTTTAGGGATTACCTGGACCCCAAAAGTATGTAAAATCATGGCCTTTATGGCTATTATTATGGGTTTAGGGCCATTATTTTACATATTTTTGGGGTTTAGGTAGGGTTTAGGGTTAAGCCCTGTTCGGGTCTCCATGTCTATAAATAAGGCCCCAAAGTCTATAAATTGTGCCTACCTTGGGCTATTTGGAGGTCTAGGGCTATGTCCACATCCCAGGTGTCACTCCTGACCGCAGCGATGTGATTACTCTTGTTCAGATTCTTGTGGTGCAAGCTTTTTCTCCATTACGCTCTTCATATATCCAGTAGTTCCAAAGACTGGGCCGTCGGTATGTGTCTTCGTTATTCAGGGCCACGATTGCGTGCCAGGTCCTGAAAGGCACCCTGGACTAGCATGTGGTTTTGCTACAAGGCTATGCATCGTCCATCTCTGGACGCAACTTTGTAGGTAGCTCATGTCAACCTCTATGATACTCTCCGAGGTTCCAAGTCAGTTCAGCGCCACATCCGCAAGTGTCGGACTGCGCTGAAGCGCTGCCCTCAGCCACTGCTTTGGAAGGAGAGGGCTCTTCCTTATGACAAAAGTACAGACATGACCTCGTAGTTGAGGGCATCACGAGCGACCTGAGCACGCCCACTTTGGGTGTACGTACTCTTTGTGGGTCATCAAAAGCAAAGTCTGAACGCGACGCCTCATCATAGCCGTCATGCCGTGCCTGCATGAGGCAAATGAATTGGGCGATGACTTCTCTGCTGGCACACAAGGTCCTGCAGTCATGAGTCATGTTTCAGCAACATTGCATGTGTTTTGATATTTCGAGAAGCTACACCTTCAACAACTGAAGTCTTGCGCCCATGCAAAGGATGTAGGACTTCAGTGCCTTTGCTCCACGGAAAGTGAGATGAATTGGGGATTATCCGCCACCCACACAACTGAAAAGAAATGACACAGAGAATTCCTTACGTTTCTGCCAACCTTAGTTTGACAAGTAGCCATGAACGTATCGTGAAAATTAAAGCAGCACCATCTGGCACAGCAGAACCGTAGCCCCATGAGCAATCCAAAGCCCACACATTTTACTGCTCAAGAATAGCTGCAAACCTGCTGAAATCATAAAGGAACCAGCTCTCTGTACTGCTATATTCGCATACAGGATTAAGACGGGGTCTCACGCGCATGGCTTTGGACGGCATCTTGGGGATATGGCGCAGCACGCATCACCTTTGCAAACTTAGTCTTTGAACCTTTGTACTCCAGACCCTGACTCCAAAAGTCTAAACCTAGTCAGAGCTTGCTATATCATAGTATACTATAGTATATTATGGTATATTCTAGTTAAGTCTTGGGCTCAAATGCGGTGGGGTTTCCATGATGATTTGGTGGATGCATAAAGTCTTGAAATGTCTTCTATGAATATCAGTGAGTGATAGGTCGGGCCGTTTCACCCTTAGGAGCCTGAGACCGGATACTCTCAAATAGTCAGGGGACTTTGGTAACCCCAACCCCCCAAATTAGGACCCTATAACCATCATATGATTGCTATAGGGTTCTAATTTTGCGGGTTAGGTTTCCAACATCCTTTTAGTATCAAAGACTTAAGTTTGTACCCTTGAGGCGTCGATTTTGAGTCCCAACTACCATCATCAAGGATTATTTTAAGTCAAGGGTACACACCCTGAGGGTAATCAGGAAACTCCCCCATCTACACTTTGAGAGACCCCAGAGTTAGATCATCCATTATAACCCCTTACGAAGCACTTCTTGTAACTCTGTATAAGTAGGTCGCCTAACCCAATAGTTACCCTAGGGTTCCTTACGGTCATAATAGTAATAGAAATGATAATGGTAGTAACAGTAATAATGGTACTAGTAATAGTAAGCGTGATTCTAGGGATTCCCACGGGTTTCTTAAAGCAGCCCATTGTACCCTAAACCCTGAACCGTAAGCCCTAAACCCTAAACCCTGTAGCAACAATAGCGACCTGGGGATTCCGAGGGGTCCCTGAAAGCAGCCCATGATATCCTAAACCCTAAACCCTAGGGATTCCCAAGGGCCCCTTAAAGCAGGACAGCCCTTGGCGCGGCCTCGAAGTGAAGGGCTCCCTGGCTGAGCACGGATGCGCCCGGGGCTCGGCTACTGCAGGGAGCTGCAGCGCATTCAGAATTTAGGGTTAGGGTTGAGGGTTGAGGGTTTAGGGTTAGGGTTTAGGGTTGGGGTTTATGGTTCAGGGTTTAGGGTTCAGGGTTTAGGG